CGGCACATGGTGGTGTGGCAAAGGGAGCAGACTTCGTCCTGACGCCCCAAATCTCGGTCCTTGGCCGCCGGGTCGTGTGTATTTGTAATTAACTGTTATTTAATACGATTTGCTTGATTTCATCGGATGATGGGAAACAAAACTGTTGTTGGGCGAGGGCAGGCAAAGATACCCAAGAGGATTCCAGACCCAACTGCGGTTATCCTACAGCACATCCTGTCCCGCACAAGCATCACCTACCCATCCCCCCCGCCAACCAATCCTGAACCCTAGATATTTTAAGCACCGATTTAATTTGCCAAAGTTCCCTGTGACGCCTCGGCTGCCGCCGCCTCATCATTTGTTTGCCTGCCTTTTTGTTTGTTTGTTTGAACGAACGCCCGCCCGCCCCTTGGACTGTCGTCTGTTTGCCATTGATAAATGTTTGCTGGGTGTTCCGATGCTCGTTAATGATGACACTTCTTATTGTCAACTCGCTGGGTCATTCACTTGGTGATTTGTCAGCTATCAGCTATAAGCATTCAAGTCCAAGTCCTAGTCTTGGTCCTAGTCCTGTCCTGACCATCTTGACAGGTAAAGTCATAGGGGCTTTAGTCGGTCACTGGGTCCGGCTGGCTGATTAAGCGATTCGATTTGAGCCCACTGGCTTAGGACCGACCACTCCCTCTCCTGGCTGAATGACGCCACAAATAAGTGATTTGGGCCACCAAGGACACGCTGTCTGGTGGGCGGTGGAGGGGTAAGGGTAAAGCTATAGTCCTGGAACCGCAAAAGAGAAAGACGTTGACGATGACGTTGGCGAAAACAAAGGGGAGTTCTTGGTTTTACTAGTGCTTTGTGAATGAATTCGAATGAGTTATATCCTGTAAGGGGGTAAAATTGGTAGCTAGACTCAGAGGGAAACCTCTCCTTCAATTTCTCTCCTTGATCCTGAGTCCTGCTAGAACTTAATAGCTAAAAAGTAAGTTCACCTTTCTACCCTTTCCTTTACCAACTTTAATCACTGTTTTCTGCTAACAGAGAGATCCTTCTTCCAGAGCCTTAAATAAACCCAGAGAACCTCAACGATCCTTAAACTATCTCTTTGCTTTACCCAAACTTAGAGAGTGGGTGGTAAGGCAGAGACCCCTTTCAGCCAGGAAACCCTACTCTAAATCAAAATGCTTCTTGCTTGGCACCCAACTAATCCACCCCACTCTACAGCCTGCTAGCCAGGGTACTCCTGGAAAACAGGTTATAAAAACATGTGTAACTAGACGACTTACAAGGATCACGCACTCCAGTGACACTTAATGCCGCCACGTCGACGCCACTGCCACTGCCGCCGCCAGAGACGAGAACGCAAAAGGGGCGGCGTCGGGCTGGGGGCAAGGACGAAAACGAGAACGATGAGAGGAGGCCAAATGTCAGCAACTAACACAGACAAACGCAATTAGCTTTTAGCCATCATAACATTATGAACGGCAGGCGACAGACAAGGACGAGAAGGAGGCGGCGACGACGACGACGACGACGACATCGTCTGAATGCTAACTGCTAATGACAAGGATGTGGACGACGACAAGGAGGGCAGGGACACGGAATCCGGTAGCTGAAACTGAAACTAGGGCCAGTCCTATTTCGAGGGGGAGGTGTAGAAAGGAGAAGGAGGAGGTGGAGGAGCAGCCTGTCGAAAGGAGCTGCGATGCGATGCGGTTAGGATGAATACCCGAGCTGTGCGCATTATGTTGAGTTAGAGCCGTGGAGGATAAGGAGGAGCAAGGAGGACAACGACGAAGGCAAAGCTCACGGATGGCACGCGGCTGCCAACAATGCTGTTAACTTGTGTCGAGATTAAAATAAGGACACTCGGAGAGCAGAAAAAGCCCCAGACTCAGGACCTTTTCCTCCCCATCCACCCCTTAACATCCTCTAACATCCGGATGGACGTGCCCTCAACACGCAGCCAGCTAGCCCAGCTCAGCCAGCCAAAGTCACAGTTCATAGCAGTCGTCGGTGGCAAGTTGACTCGCATGAGTTGCGAGCTGAAGCTTTGTTTATTATGCCAATGGTACGAGGTACTACTGATGGTTACTGGTGGTTACTGGGTGATGCAGTTGCCCTTTGACTACTGAGGCCAAAGTGTCCTGTCCTCTGTGGTTGAATTGGATAATTCCAGTGAGGGTGGTGGATGGAGGGGGGTTTGGGCCAGGGGCAAGGCCTCATCATCCAGTTGGCTTCTAAAAATTACTGCGTAAATGATGATATGAGATTTGGAGCATTTCTGCGGCATCATTCAACGGAAGCGGATACACGAGTATGCCTCGACACGGAGTCGAGGTTGGCTGATGTTGTCGCCACCGGAAGGAAGTTATTTAACGCACACACACACATACAGTCAGAGAGGGAGAGGGAGAGTGAATGAAAGGAAGGAAGAGGGGATTATGTGGCACGATAATCATATTACGATTACGTCGCGTAAAATTTGCCCCACTGTCGTTGGTTGAGTGAATGAGCGAGGTTTAAGTGGAAGTTACCGGGCTACAGATATGGGATAAAGGATACTACATGTGGGAATACTGGGATGGATATGGAATCAGAACACTGAAAAATCAAATAATAATAATCATATAGCTTGGTAGCGAGAGGGGAGATACCCTTTCTTTTGCCTTTCGAAAGGACATGCAAATATGACAAAAATAAGGCAAAGGACTCCTTCTCCTTTCACCTTCTTTATTTTCCGCTCTCTCTTCCTGTCATAATTGTTTAATTTTATTTCATTGACTGTAGCGAAAATACTCCCCTCTCCACCCCTGGAAAACTGTCACTGTCGAGGCTTGGTTTTCCTTCTCCTTCTTCTTTTTTTCGGGCAAGGATGTGGAATGGCTGGGTATGAGATGCTGCTGCGGATCGCTTAGCATTAATGTCTTTCATTTATTGTCATTGTTGTTAATGTTTTTTGTGCTGCTCTGTGTGCATGGGAAAAAAGCATTTGCATTTAAGCGTTGCGAAAAGTGGTTGTGAGATGGTGGGGTAGGGTTTCCTCGAGTGGGTGGTGGGTTAACTCTGGCTCTGGTTCTGTGGCCGCAGCAGAGATTTTGCTTGGATGATTTTTATTGCTCGTTTGTAGTAAATTTGGTGTGTAATTAGAGAGAAAAGGGTTATTATGTTCGTTAACGCAGTGAGTTTCAGTTCCCCACCTCCCTCTTTCTTCCTATCTCCTTACTCCTCTCTCCTTGGCTGGAATGGATTCCGACTTTAAACTGAATATTTGCTATATATAGAAGAGAAGTAGGGGAAAGAGAAAGGTTAAGGGTAAGGAGCAGAAGAATCATGGAAAAAACTGTAACTGGAAAGTGGATTTTTGGTGGAGCCCGCTTGCCTGGCCAGGTCAGGGAATTTTTCAGGCGACACAATGCTGCCACCAACCAAAGACGCACCACAAAACGACTGCCTCTGACGACCGGAAGGCGGCCTTAGCCTCTTTTTTCTGGTTTTGGGAGGGGGAAGAAACAGAAGAAAGCGAAACAGCTGAACTGCTGCTGCTGCTGTTGCAGGAAAAAAGAAGAAAAAACTGCACTAGGAGAGACCAAAACAGAAATTAAATTGTGGTTCGCCAAAGTGGTCCCTGGTTCTGGTCCTAGTCCTGGTCCTAGTTCTGGTGCTGGTTCTAGTTCTGGTTATGGCCTGGTTCTGGCCACAGCTCCTAGTCCTGGGTCAAGGGAAGGCCAGTAAAAATGGCAAAGCCAACAGGCGAAAGTTCTGAGTTAGCGGGAGAGAGGAAGGGTTTATGGGTTAGGAGGGTCAGCAAGTTTTGGGGTCATTAGTACTCCAAGAAGTTATAGGTTTGTATATGGAATTGGATGTAAAGAAGGCAGAGTTAAGAATATGATCTCTAAGTTTATATATAGTTTTGTCTGAGGAAGATGGATTAAGTTCTTAAAAACCTGATCTTTTGATAGTTTTAAGGTTAAAGTTAAAACTGAAATTCAAGCCATAAACTGTAGAATAAATTAAGGCACATGGCTAGTATAGAAACCATATAGCTTTTACTATCTATACCCCTATCCCAACTCTACTTTTTCTCCCCAAGCCTTCTCCAGAAAAAGAACTTAACTAAAGTTGATGAACCAAACGAATACCCTAAAAAACAAAAAAAGAATTAAATTGGATTCCCTAGCCCGTTATCGATATGATAATTACTCTTTTCTTTATAATGTATAACAATTTATAAACCTTATTAAAGCCCATTTGGTTAACTGGTAATTTGTGCCTGTCCTATTAAGTGGCCAGCTTGCTAGGCTGCGGTCTGCGACACCCCCCCGCCCTTGATGTCCTCACCCATAGAGGTGAGATGTGTGTGTGTGTGAGAAGGGGTGAAAGCAGAGGAAGAGGGCAGTACATGGTCTGGCCTGGCCCAGATGAGAGTGATACAATGATAACGAAGGCTCACCCCAAAGGGGGCTTGGGCGCAAACGCTTGCTGTGGCAACTCCGCTTTTGGCCCGTTTTTATTTGTTGCATTCCAAGTCCAAGTCCGTTCTGGCCATGGAAATAAAATTTCAAATGTAACTTTGCTGCGGTAGCCAGTTCATGTACGCGCGTCCTTGTAGTGTATGTGTTTGTCAGTGTGTGTGTGACAGTGTGTGTGTGTAAGGGAGAGAGTCCTTTGTATGTGTCGTCCTTTTGCCAGTCCATTGGTGTATGTAGAGCGCCGCGGCCTGCGGCCTGTGACGATTCCGCAGTTAGCCAGACGTCTCCATCTTGGCCCTGTCTCTTGGTAGTCCTTTCCGTTTCATCGTCTTCGTCGTGGAAGACCTTTGCTGTTCGCCCCTTAAAGGGCAATGCAGTTGGCATAAAATTTAATTCGCCGTCCTGGGAGGAAGCGCCCAGGACATTACGTGCTGGCAGTGTTGCTTCCTGCTAGCTACCCATCCGGACATAGCCCAAACCAAAACCAATCCCAGTCACAGTTGCCGTGCGAAGCATTTCCACTACGCATAGAAACAAGTTCGGGATCTCTCTACGGAAGGCAGTCAGCCAGTCAGGAACATAAGTATATATCATTTAGAAGGAGGAGGAGCAGCATATATGCAGAGCTAGAGAAGCCGTGGGGGATCAGACACAATCGAAGAAGATGGCCAGCAGCGGCGTTGCCAGGGCTCAAATGGTAAAGGAAATGCAGAGTCCCATGGCAGGGGGCTTCTATACTATGCTCGTCTTGGACGATCCGGAAGGTTTTAGCAGCGGCAGTGATCCAACCTCGTCTGGCGAAACAGATAGCGAAGGTGAAGAGGGCATTGTCCGTAAGATTAGTAACCCCGCTTAACAGCACCTTTGATATAACCAGGGAACAGTAGCCCTGATCCTCAGGCTAGCAAGTACAGTCTACTGGCTGGAGATTCGGACAATGAGCTGGAAGAAGTGGAAATCTTCTGTGAGGAGACCATCTCCCTGCTGGCCCATGAGATTCTCTGCTGTGAGGGTGATAGCGATTCGGAAACGGAGACCGACGAAGAGGAGACTCAGCTGGAGGGGGTACTTGAGTATGGACTGTTTAATCCCTATCAGCTTATTTTGAGCGAGGAGGAGGATGGGAATCAGAATGGGAGTTCAGTGGAGGAAGAGGAACAGGAGGTTAGCTTGTTGATGGCCAGTGAGGTAGACTTTTTGATGGAAGAGGATCAGCAGAGCGAGGAGAAGAAAGAGGCTAATAAGGTGGGATGCTGCTTTTAGAGAGTCTTTAAAGGGTCCTTAACTCAGCCACTTTATGAATTATAAATAAAATTCCAGATTATCTTTTTGTGGCAATATAAATTCTAGGTTTACCCCTTTTCTAATGATCATTCCTTTAAACGAACTTATTTCCAACTTTATAGCCACTTAAAGATCTAAACGAATAACCAAAACCATAGCCAGGACAATTGCAGTTTTGGCCTTTACTTTTAGCCACATATACCAGCATTTATACATTTATATTTATTTATTTATTCATGGAAATTAACATACATTGTTTTATGTAAAAAGCCCCGCAAAACGGTTGAAAGTTTTGCAAGTGCCACTCCCTGTGGGGCCAAACCATTTGGCCTTTTTGTGTGGCATGCAATAGTATCTTTCCGATGGCCGTTATTTCGGATTATAAAAAGACAAAGGAATATTGAAAAAGGGCAAGTTTAGTGGGTTTAAGTTTTCGAACTAATATCTTGATTAATGGGTTAAGCTTGTTTGGGCAGGAAATTGGTTTTAAGAAATAAGATTTTAGCTTTTTTAGTTTAGGTTGTTACTAGATTTGGGTTAGAAATTATACAGCTTACAGAGACTGATCTTTAAGCTTTTCCTTGTTAAAGAACAACCATTCCTTCAACCATAAACCACAAGGACTCTCTCCTTTACCAAAAACTTTGCCACACCAACGTTCGATCATGCCACAGCGGGGCATCCCTTATGGATGGGGATTGCTTTTCCGATTGTCACTCACCTGTTCACACTCAAAGTGTCACAAGGATTGGACGCTCAGGACTCTCCCAAAGGATGCTGCGGCGGCTATTACTGAGGAGAATGCAACTGCAACGGCAATGGCAACTTCAACAAAATGCTGACAGGCGAAGGCGGCAACAGGCGGCGGACTGAACTACTACCTCGGCCTCTCCCTAGGCAGCTCAGCTGGCTGGCATTTGGTATTTAGTATTTAATATTTCTCCTCTCCTCTGGTGGTTATCCCACGATAGTGATGGTGGTGGCAAGCCTTCGCAGATCCCTCACAGCTTGCCATTTGGCATTTTGGCATGGAACTGGCTGGTTGGTTGGTTGGTTTAGCTTGACTGTTTGGCTGGTCTTTAATTGCAAAACTGGCAGCAGCAATTGCTGGCAGCTAAAACTAAAAACGACGACAAAGGATGAGAAAAGCGTTGCGAGAATGGAAATGCGATTGCGAGTTGGTGGGAGCAGGGAAAATGAAATACAACATCAGAAGAGGCGGCAGAAAGCGAATGCTAAATGCAGTCTGTTGTGTCTGCTATTGCTGCTGCTGCTGATGATGATGATGATTCCCCTTCTCCATTCCGAATTTTCATTCCCAATCTGCATTCTACACCGCCTTCTTCTAACCCTGCACCCGTTTCGACTGCACTTATCGTAATCGGCGTTTCGGTGTTGGCTTTCAAATTGCCCGCGACCGCATCAAAGCGACCACAAAACTAGCTGAACGGACAACCGTTGACCATCAACTAGCGACCAGCTGACCATTGCCCCATCCTGACCATCGGCAATCGAGGACCGCAGGTCAGGAGGTTCTTCAGCCCAGCAGCAGCTAGCTAGTAACGTGCCATCAGCCTGGTTTAGTTTGGTTTTAGGCTCGGTTTGCTTTGCTTTGCTTTGGCTTTGGTTTTGGTTTTGGCATAGATTTAGTTTGGTTTAGGAGCTCCGTTTTTGGTTTAGTTTCTGGTCTTAGTTTGAGGTGTAGCAGCTTAAAGCGATTGGCAACAGTTTGCAGGGTGTGTAGGTAATGTAGAAAGTATCTCAGCGTAACAGGAAATCAACACTCACCTTACACACGCTTACGCACACGCACACTCTCATACACAAGCACACGCGAGTGATGCCGCAAATAACAGGAAAAAAAAAGTAGTAGAAGTGATAACAAAAAAAAAAACAACAGAGAAGGCCAGATGGGGGATCTCACAACGACAACAACAATAACAACAACACACAGGTGAACTCTCTAAACTATGAACTTTTTTTTTAAGGGGTCGTCGCGCGCGCTTGAAAGTCGTCCAGTAGGACTTTTGTGTCGAGATTTGGCGAGAGATTTGTTGCGGGCCACGCACGTGTCCGCATCCGCATCCGGTACCCGGTACTGATGTCAACAAGCTACCACACGCAACTAATTCAAAAAATCCAACGAACGGATTACGGCCAACGTAGAGGTCCGCATTGCCAGTCAGCCAGCCAGCCGAAGTCCCGATGTAGTCGCCAATCGTGTTGCTCGGCTTATGGCACGATGATGATTCCGAAGCCGAGTTAATGTCCTTCGTTTAGGCTTCGTTGGGGTTTCGGTAGAATTCGTGTTCGGCAATGTCATCGTCGTTGGCTCGTCGTCGGCTAGGCTTTCTAGGGAAAACGGCGAGTTCTGTAGTGCTACTTTAGTCAGTCGTTGGTTGCCAGCTGATGAGTTCGCACATGGCCAGGCGAGAAAAGGATTCCCCTTATCCTCACACGGGTATTCCCTACCTTTTCAGTATTCCTGCCTCTGAACGGCCAACCATATTAACGTTCTGTGTGTGCTGCTGTGGTGCTGCTGCGCTTTATTTAAAAAGCAGCTTAACCTGCTTTTGTGACCTTTTCCCTTTTGGCCAACACGTGGCCAACACAGCATCATCCTGCCTTCCTTCCTCGTACACATTTGTCCACCTTTATATCGATGGAGATGGCGATGGATAGACTGCCTCCGCGCCATTCGTGTTGATAAATGAGTTTTTATTTTGATTTTATTCACTGTTTGCCTTGTTTTTGCATATTCATTGAAAGGGGAGTTTCGATGGGCTGGCTCTCTGATTCTGATTCCGTTTCCCTTTGCTACTACTCCTACTCCTCCTCCTCTTGATCCTTTCCAGCATCGACGGCTGTTGCAAATCCTTTGCCACCTATCGCCTTTGGCCAAGGGCTGGGCTGAAATGGTTTTCAATTTATTAGCAATCAGTGGCATTAACAGCTGAATGCGATTGCTGTTGCTGCTGCTCCCCAGCGGATATGGCCACTCGGATTATGGCCATGTTGGGTAAAGTCGCGCGGGGTCACAGTCACAGATAAGGGAAGCTGATCATTGGCTGGGAATGATAAGGCCAGCTGCTGCTCCTTGAAAGTCATTTTAATTGAAGTTATCATATCAGGGGATCACTTAAGGTTTTATTGGCTGTGGACTTTCGCTTAACGAAGCACTGGTCAAGGGTCTTAATTAAATAATTAATAAATTGTAATTAAGTCTCTTCACAATGCCTTAAATTCCTGGCATATTAACTTTGAAAGCTTGCGGTGGCAGTTTGTTTTGTGGCTAAGGATTTGTGCACTGGAAGAAAGGAAAAGGCTTTCTGAATATTTTCAACTTTAAATGTGTTCAAGAAGCTTAGAGTTTCATTAACTGCCTTTAAGCCTTTCTAATGGAACATTAATTTTAGGTTTTATCAGATTTAAGATTAAGGTTTTACTTCTCTTTAGGCTTTAGCTTTAATCTGATTTCTTATAAACGATTTCTTTCGATGAAGTTTGACTTTATGGTTAGTAAAAATTGATTTTAATTTTGAATAGGGAAAGATAAGGTATATCTTTTCTAAAAAGTAAGGATAGTTCCTTGAAGGGATGCTTATATATTGAATACTTTTAAAAATTTTTGGTGTTTATCTTCAGTTTATCTTAAGTTTAAAGACATACTGAACTCCCTTTCTAGAAACTATCTTAAGCTAAAAAACTTAACTTAATCATATAACTTAACCCCAAACACATATTCTTAATCACCAAGAGCTAAGCTTATTTATTTCTGTTAATTCAAGTCCAAACATCAACGTTTTTAATTTTCAAGAGTGAGTCAGACTTAATTAGCATAACTGGCGTCCAAACTAACCTCCCATTCCCTACACTTTCTTAACCTAAAATATTATGCTAAATGATTGCTAAAATGTGTAAAGTAAAGTGAAGTAAAGTAAAGTGTTTAACATTTGTCCCCTCTCGAAATTGAACTGCTGACCCCCTAACCTAACTTCAACCCGTGCCATGTCCAACCCAGGCCCAGGCTTCACCGTCACTTTTCCCTCAGCTGGCATTGTAGCTCGATTTCGGGGTATGGGTTGGGGCTTTCATACTCCCTCCACTATGATCGGTTTTGCATATGCGAAAGTGTGTGTGTCTGCCCGGCCTAATGCGCTCAACCCGGGAACCGCAGGGGCGGCAAATTGGTCAAGTCGGTTGCTGGCCACGTAGCCAGTGTCTTGCGGCTGCAATTCCCGTTACCAATCCAATGCCAATGGCAATGGGCATGGCAATGGAGATGGCGATGGAGATGGAGATGGAGATATGAATATGTGGATATGAATGTAGATGTAGTGGTGGTGATGTGTCGATGTAGATGGCGATGCAAATGGCAGGAAATGCGTGATAACGACCGGCAGCACACATAGAAAATATTGAAAATTTGAATGAGGCTGGGCGGGGCGGCATACGGTGACAGGCAAGAGGAGGAGGAGGATGATGATAGCTACGGAGTCTCTCGTATAGCTATGACTCGAGATGGAAATGAATGCAGGACGCGAGGGGCAAAGCCATATCCTGGCCATGACTGTGTGATGTCTTTGTCGTTCGTAGATGCGAATATGCGACGACGAGTATGGATGTGTGTGTGTCTATGGATATGTTGTGAAAGTGTCGACACCAGTCCCGGCCAGGCCAAACACATGGCAAATGGCAGCACATGGCAGACGTTTCTCGTCCACTACTACTGTCCTGCCCTCATTCGCCTAGCCACGCCCACAGTGCCATAGACGACCATAGCCCATAGCCCATAGCCCATAGAAACCCATCGACTTTCCCGCAGAAGCTTTCCCTGTTTGTGTCGCCGCCTAGTAGTGTAAAGGAACGAGCATAAAGAACCGCAAAATCATGAAATGCAATAATGAAGGCTTCATGGTCGATCGCTCAAACACTCGCTCACACACTCTCACACAGCCGTTTTCGATATAGTCACAAACAGGACGAAGGGGGAGCTGTGGCTGATGCATAGGCAGCGAAACCAGCAAGCCTCTGGATGAGGGCCAGGCAAGACGTGCAATCGACACGACTGTCAATGCACTTGAAAAATGTAGGGGCCAGGCTTATACAGGCTAGGTTTGACTTATATATTTATGATATATAAGATTTGATCTTTCTGGAAATTATCTGTTAAGCTAAAAAACCTTTTCTTGATCTAGTTCTTTTTTAGAATTGAAGAAACGAAGTTGTAAAATATAAAATTAAATAGAAAAATTTAATAATTTTAAATATAAATATGTAAATCCATAAGCTTATGCCTGAAAAACCATAATTTCCCTGCTTTCAAGGTGATCTTTCATGCTAAAAGAATGAAGATAACAATTTGCAAGCCTACCTAAACAGGCACTTGGGAATTATAAGGAAAACTTGATGAAGAAAAAAGCTCAAGCAACTTACCAAAGGCTTCTATTCAGCTTAAGTACTTTCTAGTTAAATAAAATCCTATAAATTACTCAACTTAAGAAATAGATTATCTTTTTAAGGTCATAATTTTTTCTTAAAGTGCCGACTCTGACCCTGTGTGCGTGAGAGTATCTATGAGCCCAGCGTATAAGTGTGAGTGTGAGTGTCTGTCGACACCACAAAGTTGCCATATTTAAAGCATAAAAGCAACATTTCCGTTTGTCGCATGCCGATGAAGCGACAGGAAAACAGAGAGCAGCAGGCGAAGCTGCGGGCAGGCAGGGAAGGCAAGAGGGATGTGTGTGTTGGGAGTCCTGGAATCGAGACTGGTGAAAGGCGAAAGAGAGCAGTAGAATGCAGGACGAAGGATTCACGGGGGCTATTCGAAACTAAGCAGAGGTCGAGGCCTACCTCCTTTTGGGGCATGAACATAAATGTGTGTGCTAGTGTGTGTGTGTGTGTGTGTGTGTGTATACTCTCCTCTATCTGTGTGTCAAATTGTGTGCGTGCGCGTTGCAGTCATGTACAACATGCAACAAACGTGAGAAACTAAAATGAGTGCAATTTGTATTCCACGTTTACGTAGAAAAGGAGTCGAAAGCGAAGGAAGGTGGGCTTGCGGGATTGGTTATAGGATAGATATAGCATATATCTGGATATCTCTGGGATATATGAGGAAAGAGAGGCGCCTCATCAAATCATCAAGCCTGCCTGCCGCCAATTCCGACCACAAACAGAGCGCAAAGCTCAGCCCCGAATTTCATTTTTGCCTCAATTGTCGCATAAAATTTACAGATTTACACACACAAAGAGAGAGGGAGTGAGAGGTTGAGGCGCCTCCGTTGTCCTTGTTCATCATTAAATTATATTGGAGCATTTTCAAAAGAACGAAACTCGACCTGTTTGGGTCACCAACAGCAGCAGCAGCAGCAGCAGCATTTGGGTCGCCGCCCCATATTGTATTTTTTCCACGAGCTTTCCAGCTCCGTTGCAGCTGTTCGTGTGCCTTGGTAATTGTTTAAAGTAACTGCAACAAATTGAAATGGAATGCCAGGCAGCTGGGTAGTAGAGAAGACAAGTAGCCAAAAAAAAAAAGAAATAAGAGAGAAGGCCAACACCGAAACTTCACGTCCAAGTCAAAGACTGCTGCATACCCTCACCAAGAGTTGCGGTGACTCAGTGGCTTCAATTAGCCCAGGGAACTTGGTCTAGAGTGATGCGAGAGCAAAGCTCTTCCCTCGCCCGTGACCATCATTTGGAATTAGGAATCATTCTCTGAGTGAAGAGGGAACTGGAGCTGGAGCTGAAAAGTTCGAGGACTCTCACTTCTATTGCAGTTAAAGAGGACCACCGCCGCATGATGAGAATCAGAGGGGGAGGAGTTCTGGTAGCTGGGACCATAATAATTTCGAGCATTGTTTCCATTCCATTCCAGTTTCGTTTCGTGGGGGGTTGGCCTTTCATGTTATTTCGCTATTTTGGTCTTAAAATTAAAGGCCGACCCAGAGGCCACCACACATAGTCTCTCTCTAGGACCCAAAAGGAGCAACCTTAAACCACTCTCGAAAGCCCGCTTGTGGAGTTTTGAGGACAAGAAGGGGTTGCTCCATGGCCACCAGAGACTGGCGATACAAGTCTACAATGCACTTCGGTTTCTCATAGTCCTACTCCTTCTGCTACTCCTACTTCAACTCCATTCTCTGCAACGCATTCAAACCGCCTGGCATCCAAGTGGGGATGTGTTAAGGGTTTGGGGTTGAGGGTATGGATTGGCAGTCGACGGGAGCCACGGGGTCTGTGCGTGCGATGAACATGTGCGGATCGTGCCCTGAGTTGAGGGAGACGGCGACATTAATGGCAACGTCAGAGAACTCCCTCCTACACTGGAAAAGAAATGGTTGCTTTGTTTGTTAAAATTGGGAAATCTTGACCAAGTTTTTAGATTCACATAAAAGGAAAACTTGTACAGGAAATGGAACTTCTTTCCAATTGCTTTTTTTATCCAAAAATCTTATCTATACTTCACCTACTTCCTTCTTTTTCTCAGTCTAAACTGCGCGGTTTTGTGGTGGTCCAACTCTTGGCCCTGGCATTCGCCAAACCGAAATCTAATTTAGTTCATCAGGAGACAATGCCTTGTTCTCTTGTCTGTCACGCATCCTTTCTGCGTCTCCTTGCCGGATGGCTGGTTGGTTAGATGGCTGGATGGCTGCACGGATCCAAGGATGCCAGAATGCCAGGATGCAGTTGAGCCAAAAGACGACAGGACTGACTTCTTCTTTTCGTTTTTGTCTGGCAAATGCCATAATTAAGGTGTCGCTTCAGTAAGACAAGCCGTAGCAGCGATCTATTTCCCAATCGTCGTCCCGATGTTGCTTTCGGGCCAAAGTGAGCAGTTTTAGATGGCTATGGCCATGGGGCCAGTTTCAATTCCACTTATGCACAGCACGGAGATTAAGATGTCGTCTCGTTTGCTATGACTATAAAAATGGCTGATGGAATCCCTTAGCTAACCGCAGCAAAGCCTGGCTGCTACTGCTGGTGGTTCTCCTCCTCCAACTCCTAGTGCTACCAATACCTGGGAGTGGGAGTGGGTGAATGTAAAAATATACTAAATATAAATGCACATAAAAATTCAATTTCTCTAAAGTGTAGCTAAGCATGTAATTGAATTTGTAATGGGGAACATCGTTGAGAATATCGCTACACCACCACCACCACCACCGCCACCCTTTCCTTATTCGTTTCACGAATTCACGTTAGCAAAATGTCTGTCCCATTGACAGACGGACTAGCTGACTGACTGACGAACTGACTCTACGACTGAGTACCTCTCGTATGCATGGGAGATCTCCCAGTGTATGTATGTGTGTGAATGAGTCATACAATCGAGTAGGTCTGTGTGACATTTGACATAGGATTCCATTCAAATTCTCCACTTTGGCCCCTCTCGAACGTTGCCATTATGTCTGCGTGGCAATTTTTCGCTCCTCTTTCGATTACCGTCAGGACTCTCTCTTCCCTCTAGCTGCTGCCATTTCACACAAAGAGGCCAAAGGAGACGTAAACCAAACACCAGCTCACTGAGCTGAGATATACATTGGGATACGTATGTCTGCGGATGACAAAATTAATTTGTATTTTGTATGCACATCAATTGCTAATAAGAAAACGAAAGCGCAGATGTTAAATATAAAAAAAAGGGGAAAGAGCTAGGGCTTAAACGTCGGCGTCGCGTTGGGCGCCACTTTTTTTTTTGTACCCATTTCATGCCTCTGAAAAATACGGACTGAGACATACTCATTAAACGGGCTGTTGTTGCGAGGCTTCATTTTGGTCATCCGGGGTCCAGTTTTATTGGTCAATTAAATGCGACTTCTGAGGCAGCGCCGCTGCGGGCGGCGAGAGTTCCAGTTTAAGAGAGCTGCACCAACCAATCTCGAGGTCATCGTCGTTGCCAACGAATTGCACTAAAAGTAACAGCGCACAAAATACCCAGAGACAGACCCGGCCCAGGGCGGTAAAATGTGCATGTGGCAGTGGCTGTGGCAGTGGCTTTGGCTGGTGGGGGGAATGTTGGATGTGAGGCAGTCACGCCTCGTGCATCTGTCAATCAGGCAGTCAGTCGGTCAGTCAATCAGCGACATTGACAGGCCATAAAATTGGGCAGGTCAATCAATTAGTGAGTGACCTCGACGCCGCCGCCAACCCACTAGGGAGGCCGGAGTAGTTACCTAGTCGACGATCTTCGGCAGGCATCATTATCGCCTGTCGACGCCAGTCAGGACATGTCAGTCGGGGTAACGAATCGGATCCATCCCATGTTCAGGTTCACAACCCGGATGGTGATTCTCTCCAGGACCTGACCTGCCTGCTGCCCTTCACTTCATCCATTGTCCCAAATGTCCCATTGTCCATTGTCCACTGTCCACTCACTTCCACTCGCCTGAGTCGGCATGTAAATTTCAGTGGAGGCGTATGCTGCCGGAGCTCAAAAGGAAACAATTATGCTGAGCCAATGAAGCAAACTTCATCCGCCCAGTTGGCCAGTAGTTGCCGTGACACGACGACGACTCCTGTCACAGGCCGTGACACGTCGTAGCCGCTTCCTGCCGCCCGATGCTCCCTGTCCCCTACTTCCTTTTTCCCTGTCCTCTTGACTGCCCGCAACCCTTTGCCTTCGCTTTTCGAGGCACTTTGTAAAATAAACAAGAACGAAAGGTGTGATGGAGTGGATAGACTTTAAGATACCTATTAATATTTTGCTTTTTTAAGAATTAGTGGTTATTGTACCAACTAGTTACGTCTAAGAACTTTATATATTGTAATGGATAATCAATATAATCTCTTATTTACAGGCACTTCCCTTTCGACTTCAACACATTATTCCCAATTTTCTTCTATCGTGGAAATCGTGGGTATAATAAAATGAAAATTTGCTGCTTCCGGCCGAGGACAAGGACGACGGGGTCCCATCTCCTTTACAACATATATCTGAATCAGCCGCATCCGTGACCATGTCCGTGTGTTATTTCTGCTGCTTCACCGATGTCTCCGACGTCTCCATCACCGACAATGTCTCCATCTCCGCCTACGTCTCCTTTCCTCATCTCCATCTGCTTTTCTTTTCAACATAATTTTTAATGGGACGCAACGAAACGAAAAGTGAGTTACAGTGGTAATAGAGCTATGCTTTTTATTGATCAAATTTCAGGTTTGAAGTTTGTATTTGAGTTTGGAGATATTTTAATAATGCATTTACATGTATCAATGTTTGTTAACAACAAAGGAATTTTCCAGAAGAGGAAACTCATTATACATGTTACTCGTAGAGTAAAAGGGTATATCAGATTCGTTGAAAAGTATGTAACAGGTAAAATTAAGTTTTTTCGACCCTATAAAGTATATATAATCTTGATCAGGACCAATAGCGAAGTCGATTGAGCCATGTCCGGCTGTCCGTCCGTCCATTTATCTGTTCGTCCGTCCGTCCATTTATCCGTTCGTCCGTCCGTCCGTCCGTCTGTCCGTATAAACGCTGATATCTCAGGAACTATAGATACAGAGATATAGAGTTGAGATTAAGCAGGCAGATACTTGAGGTCGACACGAAGCGCAAGTTTATTTTAGCATCCTGCCACACCCACTATAACGCCCACAAACGGCGGAAATCTGTGGTGTCCATAATATTATAGTTATGTCTTCGTTTGAACTTGTATAACTTATTTTTGTCAAGCTCGATCGATTTACTAAAGATTTTTCAAATCGGAACATCATTTCGCTATTTATGAATAAATTTAAATTATAAGCCCTCACATGGGCAGTGACGTCACTCAGTTACTCAACATGCTTTCTCTGACAATAGGTGGCGCTTTGTCCATTTCATCTAGCAAAATGTATACTTTAGGTATGTGCGAAACAGTGGGGTATCTTATAGTCGTGAGTTGATGAACTCAGGGATTTATTCCCTTTTAAAGGCAGTTTAAAGCTTAGAAGTTTATTACTTGATAAATCTAATTTAAAATTAGCAAAAATAATCTTAAAATATATTAGAATATGACAAATTTAGATATTCTTAAGTGATTTAAGTCATTAAAGGCAGACCCTGCTCCTTTATAATAATCTAACTATAATGCCATCACAGTCACTTTTCCTTCAGAGTTCCTTGTAACTCCAACCACTGTTCCCTGGGAATACCCCGCCTACCTACTCCTGTACCCACTCTACACCCTTCCGGAACTCACTTCCGCAACCCAACTAACTGTTAACGTGTGCGTGTGGAATGGGTGTGCGTGGAAATGCAAATGATGCTATCTGTGCCCAGGCTTTCCATCTCCACCGCCTCCTCCCCCATCACTTATCCAGGCAGCAGGAGGATTCCTTCAGTACTGGGTTACTGGCATCTCCTCCTGGCCTGCTTGACATTCCGCAGCCGTGCGCTCAGCTTACTTCGCAGAAAACTTTTCATTGCCGTTAAGAAATTGATCAAGTGAAAAGGTGAAAATTGATTTTGCTACATGTGTTGTGTGTAAGAACGCCCCCTTTACCATCACCAGCCTCCTTGAATACCCTCCCACCCGACTCCGCCCTGCCGTATAAGTGTCAATTGTTTATCAAACAGAGACATCCGAAGAGGAGTAAGAGCCCAGCCAGCCGAGCCCAAGTGACTTTCACATGTACGCCCTGGTGACTTTTTACCGACTTACTTCGTTTAACTCGCCCGCAGTATTGAGGGATATACAGGGCTAAGGAATAAGAATAAGGATAAGGTTAAGTATAAGAATAGGGCTAAGGAGATGTGAATGAGTCGGCCGTCTACGGGTGACTGCCTGGCCCTCTCTGGATGACTGACATATGGCGTGTCATTCGATTACGTTAATCAAATGATGCACAAACACAGAGCAGGCACACCCTCCCAGCGGCAGCACTTAACATTTCGCCCAACTTTATGGGTGTTTATGTACTGGTTAAGAGCTTGACTTTTTAAGTCTTGTTAACTTTAACTTCAAATCTTCTTAAAGTTAAGGAAAGACAGACTTCATATTGATACTAAATATTAATATAAACTAAATCAAAATTTGTAAATCAATCTTAAAGTATTATCAGCTTTTTTAGGCGGTGGACTCTCTGTCCGTTTTAATATTCATGTGTGCATTCCAATAATTACCTTTTCACATTTAATTAAAATCAAAGCCTTAATATATGTATAGCCATATCCACGTGTTCTATATGAATCGCCATTTTGATATATATATATATAAAACATTTTCAAATGAATGTGAATTTCGCACCATGTGCAGTCAAGCGTAGCCCGCATAAATAGGCAACACTTCCTCGCTCCCTTCCTATGTGTGTGGCCAAAAAAGGCACAAACACACGCACGCACACATATTAGTCAAGCATTTTTTTGAAATTTACTGAAAATAAGCGTTAAATAGTTGGCATTTACCATAAACTTTGACCATGTCTAGGCTGGAGAGGCATTTATGAGGGCTTGGGGAAAACTGGTAAACGGGAAAACTGAAACTGAAACTGAAATATCCACGGGTTCTCCTCACTCCGTCATCGTCCTACTGCCATTGTATCCGTTATGACGATGATGATTATGGCCCAGTATAGCAGCTGCTGTGGCCAATATATATGAAATGAAAATCTCAGCACCCGCACTTGACTCACTTTTGGCCGCACAAATTCATTGCTCAGTCACAGTCCCAGTCCTCAGACCTCCATCTCTCCCTCGGCTGCCCCTTCATTGTTAAACGTTTTTTTATGGCCTGCCAAAATCATATTGAATACAAATGAAAGCGTGTCGGCTGTCCCAAATGTGGTGAAGAGGGAGGAAGTGGGGTGAGTGAAAAAAGGACGAACCAGTATAGTATCCTTGTGGGTTTATAGTAAATTCTAGGAAGTAAAAATAGGGGTGAAAAAAGAGGGGGGGAAGTTGAAAAAAAAGGGAAAAAGTGGAAAGCCAAGCAATCAATTGCCATCCACATGCTGGAGGGGGAACAACTCCCACTAAATGCAAAGTTCAACAACTGCAGATTGTGGATGTAAATCTTTTTGCCTTCTTGCTGCCTGCCACACCAGTCTTCCCGCAGCGCAGCAGCAGCGAGGAGGAGCAGCCCTTTGTTCCACACTCACACACCTTCAATGCCAAATTGCAGGGTAAAACTTTATCGTGTAATCATTTTAAGTTCACTTCCTTATTATTTTTGCACAACAAGTTGCAACAATTGCAGTTGCCTATGTCATTTTCCAAGTGCTTAGTACGGGTTGGGGCGGTGGTGTCCCTTCTCTTCTCCTCTCTTCTCTTCTCTCCTTGACTGCCTCCTCACAGTGGGTAATTGTTGCCACTGCTAGTCCTGCCCCTACCCCGTGCTACTTCTTAAGTTTTGTATACAACTTTTATGACACTTTGTCGTATTGTTTTTTGTTTGGCTTCTGCCGTACTTTGCGGCGAACGTGTCATATTCAGTTATGTATTTATTCCTTGCCCAGTTTCTTCTCCTCCGACACGGCTCTTCAGCTCTTCTGCTCTTCAGATTCAGATTCAGGAACAGCTAACAGCTATAGCTTCAGTTGCAGCTTTGAGTCTCCACTTTCAGATTTGTCGGAGACTCAAAACTGAAAACTATTCCCCGCAGAGAGAGAGATCGCCCACCAAAACCAACCGAAGGGTTGAGGTAGCCTAGGCAGCTGTCAGAAAAACGCTTTGAGCACGAATCAAATGTTTTCCTCTATTTTCTTTTTCTTAACCTGATTTTTCAGTTTGCCAGCATTTATTTTGGCCATTGAGCGGAGGGGTTTTGAGGAATTTGGATCATAGTAACAGGATGAATGGGCTGGTTATTGATAGGAATACAAAGATGGAAAAGGGTGGGGACATTTAAAAGGATTCTCCATAATCGGTTTGGGATTAAAAATAATTCAAAACAGAAAACAGAAAGTGTAAAGTTCAATATGATTTTTATCAAGTTTGCTTATGCCTATAAATAATGTAAAATTCATATTGGAAATGTTTTGGAAATCGATTTAACTCTTCAAAAAATCGTTAGATTTAAAGAATGCTGTCAATCATAAGCTAGTAGACAGTGTAATAAGATGATAATAATAAGAAAATGAGAAACTAAGGAGGTCCTCTCATCTTCTGATCCAAACTCTTTACTTCGTGGCAATGAAAAGTGAGAAACATAGGTACAAGCCAAGTTAATTGTTATTGTAATCTACATAGTCGAGTTAAATTTAAACCCTATGAATAAACCATTAAAAAGACAGTCCTTTCCACAAAAGAAAACTCTTTGCATGCACAGAAAATGTAAGAGATGAAACAAAACTTTATCATGTTCTATATATCCTTGTCTATTAGGATGGGTTTTGAACTTAAACTTGAGCTGAGCTTACAACGTCTAGAATGTTTTTCCAGTCGAATTATTCTAAGACATTTCTTTTACAAAAAAAAGAAGGCTCGTGAAGGATCCAATCTTCATCTTGTTTAATATATCAAAACAGGCCTTATTTTGCATTTCGAATCAATGTACTCTCATATTTCTCTCCAAACAAAGGCCAGTTTGCAGATGTTTTTCTATGCTAGAAAGTTTTAATTGGAATTTTCCGTTTATTGCTGATTTATTAAAAGTTTTTAGCTGATGCTAACGTTTAATTAATGATCTGCAAGATGTGGAAAACTCGTTGCTATTCATGACCTGGGCAACATCTTTTTACAGTAGGAGATTTGTAAGGGTTAATGTTGTAGAGACCCTAAGCAGTAGATTTTTAATAGGGAAAATCATAAGTATACCCTTAAACTTTACTTTGAAACTACTTTTGGAAAAGAGTACAATCCCAGTACCAAATCAAATCTTAGCTGAGTTTAGATGAATTTGTAAACCGATTGACTATCTGCAGGCATCAAGATAAAGATGCAAGATGCATCTTGTGTCTTATAGAAATGTGATATTGAGAACTTTGAGGTTCATGGTTAGCTCTTTCCCGAATTTTCTTGGGACTCATAAGTTCATAAGGCTAAGAAGAAGAGCTTTTAAAAGTAAAGCTAACTCTCTAACAACTTTTGGACTAACAGCTCAACTAATTAAACTACGACTAACAGGTAAATAAATCTCAAATGTAACCAAAACAATTCTCACAGGAATCTAATCATTTCGAAG